CTCTAAATTCATTTAATAAACTAAGGTGGAAAAAGATTGAATATTTTGAAAAATAAAATTATATGATTATTTTTGATGGAGAAAGTATTTATTTATTCAAAAATTATTTAAGTGGTGATTAAAAATCTGATGATATATAATAGAAAAAGATATACTCTTCTCCTCTTATATAATATCAGTTTCATTTTCATAAAATGGTAAATTTTTAGCTTTTGGTTTAAAAAATGGATTCAAAATAATGTTGTTAGATTAATATTTACAATTAAATTAGGATCCTTAATATATAAATGATTTTTCTATTTCTGATGATTCATCATTATTAGTCTTAGCAACAAACAAAGGTATAAGACTCAAAAATTAAGAAACAAACAAAGAAATATTTTACACATTGGATCATAAATATCTTGTAATAAGATTTATAGAAAAAAGTTAAAAGTTTGTAGCAGTTACATAATCTTGTTTGTATTTATATAAACTTGACGATATCAACAACCCAATTATATTTTACAATTTAATATTATATGGTAATACAATATAAGCGATATATAATTTAGAATAATCAAATTAATTAATGATATTATATGATAAATTTATAACTATTCATGAATTAAAAGAAAAGGGAAATAATTAATTATTAGAAATTTAGAATGAGTTGAGTATATCAAAAGATTGTTTGATATTATCTAATTAAAATTATGTTGGGATTGGTATTGATAATGATATTAGATTTATTCCTCTTTGCAATTCAATTAAGATACATATTATCTATAATACTGTTGTATCTTAATTTAAAGATATTTATTATTATAGTTTTTCTTAGAATTGTTAAGAATTTACAATCATAGGGTTGAATAATGGAAAGATCTTACAAAGAGCAAAAATAAATTTAATTAATTTAGAAATAGAAATAAAATCTAGTGAAATTAATTTTGGATTTAATATTTATATTTATTCTAATTAGAAATAGGATAAATTACTTTTAGTTTACAATCAACATTAGACAAGGTAAAGGAAATTAGATTTGATAGATTTTGAATCATTTAAAATAATTCAATGCATAGAATAAACCAATCACAATGAATCAAGTTGTAATTATGCTATATTTTCAGAAGATAATTCCTATTTTATCACTAAATATAAAGATTAAACTATAAAATTATGGGATTCAAAAACATATAAACTTTTATCAAAATTTAAAAGTGATACAACCAATTGTGATTTGATTTCTATTTCAACAAAAGAAATCTTAGCATAATCTAATTATCACATTATTAAACTTTGGAATTTGAAGGCTTTAAGATCATAATAATCAGAAATGGATGGTCATTCTAATTCAATTAAATTAATATCAATATCTCCTGATGGTTTATAATTAGTATCTGGTTCTTAGACTTAAATTATTAGATGGGAATTAACCAAATTAAAAAAAATAGATGTATTAATCAAAGGATAAGATTTGCACTCTATCTTTTGTTTCTCTGAAGATGCAAATTATTTTGCAGCTGTTGATAAAGATCCTTGCCTAATTATAATTTGGAAATTAAATACTTTATATTTAATTGAAAATTTCATGACAATAAGTTATTTTACTTAAGCAATAAATTTAAAATTTAAAATAGCTGATAATCATCTAATTTCATGCTATTAAATTGAATCTTAATTGTATCATATAGCTTGGGATTTGAGTAAGCCTGAATTATATTAAATTTAAAGAAAAACTTGTTACGTTGACATTCCTAAACCTGTCATGTAATTTTTAAGTGATAATAATTTAATGATATAAATTAAACCTCTTAAAATTTTTGTTTTTTTTGACCAAGAAAATTCAGAATATTTTTAATTTGATAATTCTTAATCAATATCAGATGCTAAATTAGTTACTATTACGCATGACAATCTTAAAATGGCAGTTTAAAATGAAAGTGAAATAATTATTTGGTCTTTTAAAAAATAACAAATTGAACATAGGTTTGAAAATGATATTGGATGTACATAGAATTTAGTATTTTCAGGAGATAATAAAATACTATTTACTAATTACAATGTTACTATTAGATGTTTAGACGTAACC